AGAAGAAGATGAGGGAAAAAAATGAGCGCTCACGAGGGCGTCGGGTGGGAGGGGGGGGGCGAAAATTGGAGAGAGACGGGACTCGCGCCGCGATCCACTGGGGAGGGACCTGGGGGCGTGGCCTGTTGTGATACCCGCCCATTGGGATTTTTAAAATTCAACCACGTGTTCCCAGTGCTGAATATACATACAACACTTCACGGCAATAACCCATCACCCAATGAAAATTATCTAACTTCAGTGAGATAATGATCGATAATCGATACCTGGGTGGTGTTGTTCCTGGAAGTTATTTGTGAGGTAAATCGTCAAGCGTGAAATTGTGATGGCTCGGTGGGTTGTGGATAATTTTTCGAATTATTAATTTTTCATTATTCATTGGGTTATCGAGGGGGAGATGTCGTTTATTCGCGAACGGTTTGACGGGTTATGACACTGTTTATTGATATTTATTTGATGGAATGTTGAGTTGGTGGTGATTGATGGAGGCAATTGACGTGGAAATTGAATTGGCATTTGAGGATATATTTATTATCAGTCGGGAGTGAAAATTTGAAGCTATCGATTTGGTGGGAATCATAATTTCGGATTAATGAATTATCTCTGCCCCCTAATATTTTCTTGTAAAATCGATATATTTTTTACTCCCAATGGTAATTGGTAAAACATTAAAAATCGAATTTATCTGGTAGTTTAGAGGTTTTACGAAATTGCTTTTTTGACGTCAAGAATTTTTCTCATTAAATTTTGCGATTGCCTGCGGTGTCCAAAAATTAATTACACGAAATTCAAATCAACAAAGAATTCCCAAAGTTCAAAATTCGCTTAAAAAATTTCAATGCAATAAAAAAAACAGAGGGATGGAGGGATTGGAGGGCGCCATAATAACAATCACCGGAGCGATCTCCCCCCCAAAAATTAATTATTTAAAACAACACCGAAAAACCTCAAACATCACAAAACCAATCTCGATGGATCTACCAGTAGGGGCTTTGGGGGGAGGAAAATAAAAAAGGGGGAAAGGCGTGGCCGAGATTTAATCGTTCCTCAGGGGAGTGAGTCCCAGGTTGGGCCGATGGTGGGGATATACTGGCTCGCTGGTGATCGTTTCTTCCGCGGTGAAACGCGTGCAGTCGCTAGCCGTAGCGCTATACTTGTCCGTCGAAAAGTTTAATTCCATTGATCCAAAGTTTGAACAAGTGATCGAGTTAAAATAATTCAAATCGACCCGCGTCACCAAGAAAATCCAAAAAATTT